CCCCAAAACCCCAAAACCCCAAAACCCCAAAACCCCTTTATTTGTAGATAGAATTGAATGCTTTACTCATCTTCCTTTTCCTCATCTTCCTTTTCCTCATCCTTCAGTTGTTGATATAAAGCTTCTAGTTCCTTCTTACTCAAGTTCATTTTATATGCTTTATCCATGTCTAGATACTCTGCTGGTTTTGGGAGCTCTGGGACTTTGTCTAGTTCCTTCAGCTCTTCTTCATCAAGGAAGTCAGTCCACATGTAATTAAAAGCTGCAACTTTTTCAGCGCCTCTTTCGTTGAATCTCTCATAATCTTCATTATAATTTTCGAAATGACTGAGCATGTGGCCATATTTTTCATATACTCTTTCTTCTCAGCTTTTCTCATTTTTCTTGGCTTCAATCTCATTATACAACCACTTTTTGAATTTTCTCTTATAAGCATATTTGGTTCAGAAGATGAAGAATTTACGTTTTTCTTCAGATAACCAGAACTCATCAATATCATAGAAAGGTTTCTCTCTTCTGGATTTGTCTAAGACCTTTTGAGCTTCGTAATACTCTGGGTCTTTATTCTCCCCTCTGGTGATGACAGTGCTATGTGGTTCTGCAAGCACGAATATATCTAAATGAGTGTCTTCAAAAGTGTATATTCCTGTAGTAGTTTCATTAGGACACCAGAGAGGATCTCCGAACACATGCCTTACTTCTTTAGGTGAAAGCATTATTGTTGTATCTGGATCTCTGTGGTACTCATTGATGCCAGTTTCTCTATCAAAGCAAGTCCAGCAGTCATAATCAGTAATATCATTTGAGCTCTTAGTTAGGATGACTTCTCTCTTATTCTTGAGAGGTTGAAGTTTGAATCCCTCAATATCCACACTTTCGTCGACAAATCTGTCAATATCAAGAGCGCTTGAAATCTTTCCATGGAAGATTGCATTCCTCCAGATCTTGGAGAGTGACTCATCAGGGTTATGTTTGATGTACTTAAGGATCCTCTTCATCTCGTTCCTTCTATAAGTGTCTTTTTCTATTTCTTCATTATAAATTTTGGTAAATTCTTTATGTTGCTCAAAGTTATAATTTGGAATATTTGCGTTCCTGGGTTGTTCAGAGAGCAGATCTTCAGATTCATTATTAGGCGAGAATCTCTCTTCTTTCTTAAGCATATCTCTTTCAATTTCCTCTTCCCTCTCTTTATCAGAAATCAGACGTTTAAGGAAGTAATGCTCCTGGAACCTGGAATCGGCTCTTCTGAGGTGAATATGAGTCTGATCCTGAAGAAGTTGTGATTTTTCAAACATTGTTAAATATCTTCTGAGATCTCTATATTCATAATTCTCTTAGGGTTACCTCTTAACTTGCTTCTGTGGGATTCCCTTAAGCTCCTGGAAAGTAATGTCCTTCACTTTATTCCACCACGAGAACTCATCTTGATCCTGTTTGAGCTGTTTGGCCTTGTAGGCCTTCTTAATAGCAGCAGCTCTTTTGGCCTTGATCTCTGGGGTCTCACCTCCAAACTGGAAGAAAACGTTGATATTGGCACTAGGAATTCTACATAAACTCCTTTGCTAGAAATAAGCGGGTTTGGAATACCTGGAATAATGTCTTGAAATTTGTCAGCATTTATACAAATTTTTATAATCATTAATTTTATTAAACCTTACTTCACAGGCTGGGGTTTTGGGGTTTTGGGGTTTTGGGGTTTTGGGGTTTTGGGG